ATGCTTCTCTTTAGAATATGTTACATTTTTTTCAACCTTAGATGATTTTTCAGATTAAAAACTTTGGTATTATTTCATGTGTTCCTAAGTTTTACTCCTTTTCATGCTTTCTAGGTATTTTTTCCTTACTTGAAAATATTTTGAAAGTGTTGTTTATTGAAGATCTAAGTAATTCATATAACACTAATGAAAATAGTAAAATGGAAAAAAGAATGAGGAAACCTTCAACAAAACATGTTGTCATTTAGCAATACACATTTCCCAGTGAAACTTTGTCTGGGTTGGGTAAGTCTCAGTGTATCAGATAGTGAAAATCAGTTTGATTTATGTGTAATGTACTACAGGTGGGGAACCAGATACAACCTTTCTCAGGCTCCCTTCCACGCTACTGAGCACATTTCTTTCACAGGGAGGAGTGGCAGTTCCTTCAGGTGTGGTCTGACGCTCCCTCAGGAGACAGGTCTTTCTCAGCATTCTTTTGATGTCCAAGCTTCCTAGAAGGACACCTTATAGCTAGTAGACAAGGCAGTGTCACTGCAACCCTGTCTAAATGTGGTCCAAGTTCAACACTTGGCAGTTAGAGGCAACTCCTGCTTTCATCTCTCTGCCCTGCCCCTTGCAAATATGTGAATCTCAGCAAAGGCTGTTTATTTTGACAAAAATGAAAAGATAACAGGTGCTAAGGAATGCAGAACACTTCAGCATGTCAAATGGAGTTGGTCAGGCATTACTCTGTTATTGGCATGTCAGGACTGGCTGTGCTTGCTTGGCATGTCTGGAAAGTGGAGCAACAGGGCAAACCTAGAAGGAAAGGCTCCATAGCAGCTCTCCCTGAGAAGTGACCTTGTTGGCACATCTTTGCTTAATGGTGATCTCTACAGAATGAGATCTCTGAGTAAGAATTGCATCTCTTGAGTTCTTTGAAGCCTGTTGAGGTCAGTACAGGGCTGCAGTCCTTCTATTAGCAATGACCAGAGCAGTGGCCTAAACTTTTCAGCACTGAGGTCCATGTTGAGATTCAAAGATAGTTAAAAGCTCTTCTCTTGGAAGTTTTGCAAAATGAGAATAGATTTTTGAGCAAGATTTCTTAGTAACTTTCATAAGAGAGCAGACCTTGTGAATATTTTGCTATGTATGTTTTCAACTGCTAGAGTCCGTATAATTTGTTTGTATGTCTCCTATATCTAAAATAAAGTAAAATCACCTTCTGTTTTTCAAATCAAATGTAATCTTTTGGGTACAGATGAGATGTCTAGCTAATCAGTGAATAGTTTGAGCATCTTCAGTATTTTTTCTTAAGTTTTGTATACTACAAAAAAATACCGAGGCATCTAAGATCCTTTCAGGTACATTTACATGCACACTCATCACAGTGGAAATAGAGCAAAAGATCCAAAGTGCCCTTGTGAAGTGACAGTTTTTCAAGAAGACCAAGAGATTACATGGACCACCACTGTTCCCCTCCAAACCTACACACTTACAGCATTCAATTACCCAGTTCTTTAGGGGCCATCTTTGGGTGAGCTCAGTCCTTTCTTATTGATCCTTGACACTTCCCTTTAGACTGTTCTCATTATTTGATTGCAGAATCCTTCCTACTGGTTTCTTTACATGCTGTTTTATCTCTTCTAATGAATCTGACCACAAATTTATATTTTTACAATCTCACCAAGATGGAGATGATGGCACTTGGTAACATTATTGTTACTATATGTCAAACACTATTGTAATTTTAATTTCCCCAGCAGTCTCCTTATAAGGGCACTACTGCTAGTATCTCCAAAACAGAGAAACCATGTGAGTTTGCCATTATCTAGCCAAAGGAGCCAATATTTGAGCCCCTCTGGGGATGCCTGCCTCCTTGTGGTCTGAGCCCAGACTTCCTATTTTCCTTAAGCCCTCCACACTGCAGCCTGGCCATACTTTAATGTTCAGAATCCCAGTAGCCCATCACTGGGCCTTTGTCGCTGATCTTTCTGCCTGGAATTCCTTCACCTGAGTTTGGCCTTTTCTTTAGACTCCTCTCTAGCATTGGTGGCCAGGGTATAAAAATCAGCTGGGACCCTTGATCAGAGTAGATAACCAGATCTAGGTTGAGGCCAGTAGCCCAAATCCCAGGTGACTCTGGCTTGCACAAGGTGAGGAACTCTTGCTGATGACCCTCTTATTCTTAGGTTCTTGGCATACTTTGTCACATCTTCATTTTATTTCTTTGTGCTCCATTCAAATAGACAGGGACAGTCTCTTCTACCTCTGGAACTTGTCTCCTTGCCTGACATGTAGTAGGCATTCAGTAAACAGAAAGTGGTTTGAATCCTAGTATCAGTTTGTTGTCTCCTTGGAAAGGCTAGAAGGAAGAATGTGATGCCTAGAATTAAAAGTTTGCAGACTAGAATTTTCTTCTGATACACATTGTCTTATAGAGAATTGAGCTTCTTTCTTAGTCATGTTAAATCCAGCCCTGAGTTGTACTGAGCACCAGCTGCTAACTAGGTGCTGGGAGTTAATTATAATGATGACCAGTTGAACACCCCCACCCAGATCTACAGAAGGCTTCCACATATATGAATAATGAGGAAGCATGTACTTAGTTAGCAAGCTGTAGTTGGCCAGCACCCAGCTTTGTACTGTGTGATAAATCAGTGTCAAATCAAATCAGCAATCAAAGCAGAAGTAAGGCATAAGAAGCAACTAGAGAACCCCAAATTCCTCCTCAGAGAGGAAAGAAGAGAATATCAATTATGTATCATGGTTATCGTTTATGGTACATTTACTGTGTGGGTCCTAGAGTGCTGGGTACTTAGGGTTAGTACATAATTATTCCCATTTCATTCATGAACAGCCTTGAAGAATTAAGTTGCAGCAGAAAAGGGGGAAGATCTTGAGAGCAATGTGGGCCACTGTTTCCCTTGAGCTTATGCCCTCCTGTCCTTTACCTAGCCCCTGAACTTTGGCCTTTGTTTCTCTCTTCAGGCCATATTCCCTTCCAGGAAGTCTTTTGGTCAGTCTTTCATAGGGTTGATCATACCCTTGTACCTGCCTAGATGAGCTCTGGAAAGATTGTACACTCAACTGGGAGGCATTTCCCACGTCCCGAAGGTCATGTGTCACTTTGTGAGACATTCAGGCATTACAAAGTGAGGTGAATACATAACCAGTAAAAGAGTGTGGATGTTTATTAAAGTGAAAGCTAGGGGCTGGAGTAAATAAAGCTTAGCTCCTTATTACAGTTATATAGTAGCCAGGAATAATGATATCTGAGGGACATAAAAACTAGAGTTAATGGAAAAGTTTATGATATTCCCTATAATGTGAGAATTGAGTGAGTGTATGTATGTGCATATGCGTGTGTGTGTATGCTCTCAATTTTGGGGCATACCCAGACCCTGTTCTTGAGATTGCCTTGAGGTTTCATTTTAGCAATAGCCTGGTGCCTAGAAGTATAAAATTTAATTTCTATAGCAACAAAATATTCTTCAAATACTATCTACAATAGTGGTTCTTTAGTTGTGGTTCTGGGATCAGGTGCCTCAGTGTAACTGGAAACTGCTAGAAATACAAATTCTGGAGTCCCACTGCACAAGTCAGTTTTGGACATGGGACCTCAGAGGTCTATGTATTAACCACTTTCTTCTTTATGTGGTCTGATACACTAAGGCCTGAGAAGTGACTTTGCCTCCTGCCCCAGACCTTTAGGTTCCTAGGTGCTGGCTCTTGACTCATCTTTTCTTGAGTCTAAGGGTGACCAGATAAGAAGTAGATGCATCTGGTTAGATGATCTTGAACCAAACTAAGGTTTATAGTTTATGAACATAAGGCAAAATTGACAAATACTTTATCTGTGTACTATTGTCACAGGCTTTTTACTTGTGATTTTTTTCAATATTGATTATAGTCTGTAACTACCAATATGAAAGGAATTCATGGCATATTTATTGTTTGAGATAATGAACATAAATTAATATAGTCGGCATTTTAAAGTACTCTTGTTATCTTTGGAAACAGTCTACAAATCACAAAATAAGGGTCAGTGATTGTAGTATAGTCACCAAAGGATAACTCTCAAATTGGCATGAAGCTAATATGATGAGTTGATAGTGATACATTGTCAGATATATCTATATATATATATCTATATATATATATATAATTAGATGAATATAAATGGGTGACTGACTGGCTACATAAGAACACTTTCTATGATTGTTCATAATCTCTATTGTGAAACTTGTCTTCTGGCTCCTCCCACCTCTTTAAATGATGATTTAAACTACAGCAGGGTTAGCAATGCTAGAAAGCATGTATGGTCTTAAACTCTTTGTGGACAGTCCACACCAAGTAATCCTTTCAATATATATCTTGCGCAAAGATTTCAGTTTTTCAAGGAAGTCACTATTAAAGACAGTGTCTTGTACACAAGGATTTTTGGAAATTGTAGTCAGGAAACCTAGAATTTTAAAGGTAGACTTTTCTCAAATTTGTGATTTTGTGTAATCTTGACTTTCTGGGCTTTAGTTTTTTGGGGGTTTTGTTTCATTTTTGTTTTACTGATAAGATAGTATGTCTTGGTTTAGATGAACAATTGTGGCTCTACTTTCTACTAAAAGAAAAATAATTTTTACTCACACAGTAGAAATTAGATTATAAGATGTAGACTAAATTTTCTAGCTAAATTTTACAAATGTGAACAAATTTTATGTGTCTGAATAATCTTTTCAAAATCTCTTTAGGAAAAAATGGCAGATTAATGATTTTGAATTAATTACAGGGAAGAGTATCTTTAAAGTTAAAATGTTACTTTCTTTTTTCTTTTGAATAAATATTAGCTCTGGCTGACAGAGAACTTTTTTCAGACCATATGGACTTGTTAAATTTTATTGCTTAGCTTATGGAATTAATATGAGTTGCAACATTAATAGATGGTTTACATTTTCACTTAGGTTTGGCCTTCTTTTTAATGAAAAGTATAATTCTATTAAATCTGAAATATTTTCTTGCAGCGATCCATATGTGAAACTCTCATTGTATGTAGCAGATGAGAATAGAGAACTTGCTTTGGTACAGACAAAAACAATTAAAAAGGTAGGTTGTTCATTCTTTATAAAACTTGTAATTTAATCAAATTATGAATTCATGCTTTGTAGAAATTATATGTTGAGAATAAGATGCAAGTAGTAAATCTAAAAATTCTCCATAGAGTGATATTTTTCCATATTAATCCAAAATAATCGTTTTTTTGTCAAATGACTATAAATACTATATTCTGAAACTAAAACTTATTACAAGTAGTAATTCTTTTTACAAAGAATACAGCAAAATAAAAAATTATTGAATTGCTAATCTTCATAATGAAATTTATAATGACTTAAAATGCATTTATTGAAGTTGTTTGTGGAATTGGTAGGTGCACCAGGAATGGTTTATCTTTAAACAGTGTTACCAAAGGAAGCAAAATATTTGTTTTAGCTACATGAAAGCACATATAGCTTACTAATACAGCTATATGTATGTGTATGTTTTGTTTTATGTATTGTATATATCATTTCATTAAAATTTTGTTTCCATAATATTTCTTAATCACCTATCATTTTTATATACATATGTAAATATTTTCTTCATATTTCAAGGATGTATTGAAAATGCATGCAATCTAACAAAAGTGTAGTTTTCATCTGTTTTAAAATTATTTGTGGGTTACTGTTATTTTTCCTCCCACCTCTGGGGAGGTGGTTAGATAGTCTAACGTTAATACACATTTCCTGGTCAGCATGATTGCTTTAAAAATATAACTCCCCTGCTGCGGAGCCAACGTTCCCAATCTTTGGTCAGGTCGTTTTTTGTAGGGAACAGTAATGCACTGTGTCCTCCGCCTGGCATTGAGACTGGCATTAAAACTCTGTTTTGTAAACAGAGGCCGGTGTTGTGATTAGTGGGAGGATGCCTGCCGAGGAGGGAGGCCATTGTTCCCCGTTTTAGGCGCTGTGTCACTTCTGTTACCGGTGAAGCGGGCCACCTCGCAGGGAAGGCAGCTGGGGGACTTGGTCACCTGCTGGATTGAAGCCACGAAGCCAGCCAGACCCCAGGCGGTGACTAGAAATATTGCCATGTGTGTCCTTCCGAGGGGAGGTCCTTCTTCTTCCTCCCCTCGACCGGTGGAGGGTGTTGCTCCGTTCTCTAGGCAGCCAGCCTCCTGGTTAGTATATTTGTGCCGCACCGCTGTTGTCTCCCTCTCCTCGTGGCCCTGTGACCAGTCTGTCATTTATTTTGTGGTCTCATATTGTCGTTGACTTCCCTCACCTGCCATTGCCCTGTGTATTTCCACGGAGCTACCCTCCAGGAAGCTGCTCCTGGACGATGCAGCCTGCAGCTGCCTCCCTGACCCCAGGCTCTGGTTTCTGCTCCTCCTCCCCTGCCTTGCCATCCTAGCTCCATTCACATTCAAAACTATGAAACCCCATTTTTTTAGGATTGGATTCACTGAGGCTTTGTTGGTGGGAAAAGTGCTGATTTGCTTATTGCCACTTCACTGTGATATGAATTCTGTGTTTTGTATTTTTATGATGCTGTCGATTTTTATTTTTAATTTTTTTTGCTTTATCCTGTTAAAAGAAATAGACTCATAAAGGCAAATATCATTTTGTCTAAAAAATGCCTATAGCTGTGGATGAGATGGTGATTTTCAAAAATCTCAAAAATTTTACCTGTAGTGTTTTAGATGAGTGTTTTTATATATTGTGCCTGTAGGAATTCACAAAAATACAATATATGTGTTATTTGTAGAATGTGCTTCTTCATCTTAGTTTTAAAGAATGTTGTCTTTCTTTTGTTTACTAAAGACAAAAGTATCCTTACCATGTTCTTCTAAGATGTGTATTTAACTAGATTGATAAAAAAATGGATGGAGGGGAGAGGAAGATTGAAAGATAAATAGATAAGCATTTCTTAACCTGGTTATTCGGGGGAAAGAAAAAAATTACTTCCTTTTTGGTTATAACCAGCAGAGATTTTTCTTTTATCTTTCCTTTGTATAAAAACTGATCATCACTATTGTTTTTATGTTTTTCAAATGTCAACATGTATATAAAGATTGAAGACTTTCAGTTTTCCTTCACTTCATTACTCTCAAAAACAGATTTGTAGCAGGTAGAGTAAAGTCAACAAAGTTCATTTCCTTTATAGAATACTCATATCAGTGCTAAATTCTTGAGGGAAATTTCTATATTTTCCTGATTATAAGTCTCTGGTGTTTTTCCTTCTGGTGATAGCATGCAATTTATGGTTTCTTATCTATGAATCATCTGTTTTATAAATACACTCCTTCCCCATCTACTTGGTTTATAGAATAGTCTCAAATAATTGACTAACTGCTGCTTTTATTATCACTTTAAAAATCTTTTTATCAAGAAAAATGTTTAAACAAATACAAAGACTGTATTGCATTAGAAACTGTCAGTTTCCAAGACTATAAAAGATATCATAAGTTAATTTTTCTTCCAGACGCTGAACCCGAAGTGGAATGAAGAATTTTATTTTAGAGTAAGTTTTTCATTTTTTGGTAATAATTGTTATTGATATCTAGATTATCATATCAATAAATTTATAGTGAGGAAAGCTATAACATTTTTAAAATGGGAGATTCCTCTTAAGTTGAGAAATCTTTAGGTAGCTTTCTAATGTATCCCAAATTTTGAAAGACTAAGAAGTGGCCACAAAATCTGGACTGTTTCATTATGGGGGTTGGTGTTTGGGGGAAATAAAAAGAAAGTTATCAGAACACTGTATTTTCTTTTCAGAACTCAGGCTTTTATTTTTAAAATAAGACAAAATATAATTTAAATAGTAATTTATTTTTATGTGATAAGGATTATGAATTATTTTAGATGTAGAGTGAAACAGTAGGAGAAATATATTTAAAAGAAGCAATAAACATTACCAGTTATGGGTCTGGAGATGTAGTTCAGTAGTAGCAGTTGCCTTCCATGCACATAGCTCAGGGTTCAACCCTCTAGCACCCAAGAGAAAGAGAAACAAGAAAAACTACCAATTACGTTCCTGTTTAAGGAGGAAATGTTTTGTTATTCAGACATTGGATGTGTATGTATTTGTGTACTATAAAATTACTTTGGAAATTTTTTATGCCACTTAATAAAGTTAAATTTCCCTTAATGTTACATATTTATTATCTACACAGCTATATGGAGAAATGGCTAATCTTTAAAATAGCTGAGATTTTTGCTCAGTGAGCTTTTGTGATTTTTGCTGGGTTTTCTTTTTACCAAAGTCCTGAAAATATTAAACTGCTCGAGTATTTAGTTGAAAGAAAAGTTTTTTTTTTCTTTTCAAAATGAAAAAACGTTAGTTGTGTAACTGTGCTATTAAAAACTGCTGTCCTCCAGAAATGCTCCAGATTAGGCCTTTGGTTTAGTGCACATTCCCAAAGAACGATATTGCCATTAGGCCCCTTATAATTGGTCCTGACTTCCTTCTTTTCAATTGTGATAGCATTTTATGTGCTGCACACTTGGATAACCATATGCTGCATCTGTTTTTTATTTTCAGAGCTGAAATATGGCACTCATAGTTTAATTCTTGGTTGATCCTGTGTTCAGCCCTCACCAGATGTATTTTAAATTACTCCATGAAGAACTGAAAAGTGATTAGGAGCTAAGAGATGTGGCTGGTCCCTCATTAATTCTCAAATACAGGTTCTTGTGGAGCTCCAAATTATTTACTTTCCTTTCATTTGAACCACATTTGGGTGAATTTTAGTACACCCAAAACTTTTTCAGTGATTCTTGGCTATGGACATAATTCAAAATCTATTTTTTTAAAATATTTTTATTTCTTATACAAATCTGTATGGTGCTAACTATGAGCTGCAACCTTTAGTTGTGTTGCTTAGTCAGCAGCTCAACCCTTGAGTATAGACCACAGTCACATCTCTGGCTTTACCATTTATTGACTTTGTGACCCTAGAAAAGCCACTGAGAAATCTCAATCTACCTGGGTTCCTTGCTTCTCATGTAGGAAAGGGAGATTCTTACTTGGAGGCTTATTTCCCTGATTTACATGCAGTACACTTACATGTCCCATGCAGTTGATCGTTGTGGTACCTGAGTCTAGGTGATGGTGCATAGACCAACTCAGTGATGTTTTGGTAAAGAGAAAGAAGGAAAAACCATTGAAAACCTATCAGTTCTGACACCTGCCCACATTGCTAGAACTGGGAGCATCTTTCTGGTTCGCTCTGATGGTTCAAAGGATGGGCTCTGGAGGGCAGCAGGCCGGAACTTGTGCACATTCTGGCTACCCAGTACACTTGCTATGTGCACTGGGGCAGTTTCTTCACTCCCATAGTCCCAGTTCTTCATGTCTGAAATTAAGGTGATAGCTACATGTCATAGGGTTTCTGTAGGGATTAAATAAGATCGGGCATTGTTGATCTTTAACAAGAGATAATGTCTAAAATGATGATACATAGCTACTTAGTATTTTCTTAATTATTTTGGTTATTAGTAGTAATAGCAATAGTAGGCCAAGGGAGTTTTCTCTGGCAGGGGCCTATGTGAGGATATGATATGAGGATGCCTATTTGTAGTATAGAAAGTATATTTGTAGTATATTATAGTCTTGAAAGTTCTTTGGGATTATACTTTTTTATTCCAGTAATGTAGTTAAGGGCCTTAACCTTTTTCTGATATACCTAAATATTAGAGATAGAATAATAAAGAAATCAACAATAGCAAATTTTATTCAGGAGATGCAGAATTTCCAGAAAATTAAGTTAATTGTTCCTATTGTACAATTGAGTTGTGTATATTTATTACAAAACATTATTCTATTATTTCTGTCCCTTATTTTGTTTTTCCAATGAATCCTGTTCATTTTTTAAATATTTATGTTCCTTCTAGGTAAACCCATCAAATCACAGGCTCCTGTTTGAAGTATTTGACGAAAACAGATTGGTGAGTCCTTGTTGGTTTTTTTGTTTGTTTGTTTTCTTTTTGGTACCGGGGATTGAACTTGGGTCCTTGCACTTGCAAGGCAGGCGGCGGAACCACTGAGCTAAATCCCAGGCCCTGAGTCCTTGTTTTTTAATTTTGCTTCCTTTCTTAAACATTGAATTTTTAGGGAGGAACCTTCCAACCTCTGTCTTTTGGTTGTACATGCTCAAAGAGAGGACTACTTTTGTCCCTTTACTAAAGTTATCATTCTAAAAATATTTGTGTTTGCTAACATGGAAAATTTATGTGAATATGTATGTATATTTTTATTTCAGTTAAGATTATTGAAAATTATTAATGATAGTCTCAACCAGAATGCTTATGTTCTGGTTTTGTGAATCCAGAACAATAGGCCTATTGGTAAAGATGTCATCAAGCACATAAACAAACCAATGGGGGATCTTAAATATAAACCAGACTGTGATGCATTCAGTAGCAGATCTAGGCTCATTCTCTCTGGGAAAATGAAAATCTAATGTATATAGGAAAAATTGAATCTATAATTAGCAGGTAAAGTTAAGGTATATTTTAAAGTGGTACCTTCTCGAGAAATCCTTAGTGAATCCTTTTAGAGGCGAAGATAGGGCTGGAGATGTACCTTAGTGGTAGAGTGCTTGCCTAGCATGTACAAAGCCCTGGGTTACATACCAAGCACTGTGAACAAACAAAAACAGACATAAATATATTGATTGAATAAAAGGAATATTCTTCTTAACCTTCTTTCTGTAGAATTCAACTGAAACTTTTTTTTTTTAATACTGGGGATCGAACCCAGGGCCTTACACACATGAACAAGTACTTTAACCCTGAGCTACATCTCCAGCCCTTTTAAACATTTTTAAATTTTGATACAGTCCAACTAAATTGCCTACGCTGGTTTTTTTGCCTCACCCTCCCAAGCAGCTAGGATTATAGGTGCGCTCCACCACTCCCAGCTGAAGCTCCAATTTTTTTTTTTTTAATAGCTTGAGGGTAACAGAATATATCAGAAGGGAAAAGCCTTACCCAGTCAAGAACTTTTATAAATTTAACACATCGATCACAGGACATGCCTTGGGCCAACTAACCTGTGTCTCTTCCATCTCAAGTCAGTCCTTTGAAATAGGCAGAAGTTTTAATCCTTCGTATAGAATTTGAGAGTGTATTTAATCCATTATGCTTGGGATTATTCTCCAAAATAAAAAACTAACAGATTCTGGCCTACCTAATATTAGAAATAAGGGATCTTGGTAGCTTTGCAGTTAACTGGACATTTTATGCCTTGGGGAGTGATAATCAGTAGCACATAGCAACTAAATCCTTTTCATAGGTTACTTTTGACAATTTTGTCTTCATAGTACTAGAGATGAACCCAAGGTGATGTGTGTGCTAGCAAGTGCTACATACACCATTGAGTTACACCCCTAGCTAGCCCTTTTTATGTTGGTTTTGAAAAAAGGTCTTGCTAAGATGCCCAGGCTAGACTTGAACTTTCAACCTTCCTGCCTCAGCCTCCTGAGTTGCTTCAGTTTACAAGGGTGCGCTCCACCACAGAAGGCTCTGAAATTACTTCCTTGATAGACTGAATGAGAGATTCTGCTGAGGGTACAGTTCTTGCTCTCTTATCTTACCTAGTAAAGTGAATCAGAAATATCGAGGATTAGTAAAGCATAAGTGCCTGCAGATATAGAGGCCTCCATAGACTCATCCATGTTCTCTGATTTATTAAGTATAATAATTCTCTAAGATAAAAAAGGAGTCAAAAATGAAGAAAAATGACTTCTTGTTTTATGGGGTTTAAGTTCATCATGAATGTCATTTTACTAAGATAAATCATTCTTTAAAAAAAAAAAAACTTCCCATTTCCATGATCTAAAATACTGACTATAGTCGAAATGACTTTTCCTTGGATCGGAAACTAAATTTCCAAACTAAAAAGGCCTTTGAATGCAAAGTTTTTAAGAACTCCTGTTTGAATACACACTTTATCTGAACAACCTAACTTTATAATATTAATACTTTGCTCTGCCCCAGGCCATCTGCGGTGTTGTTACTATGCAAAGAATGTGCTGGTAGTGACTTTTCTCTTTGTTGGCTGTTAATCCAGCAAACAGAATCCATGACTATAGTAGTACTTGGAAGTTCTAGCATTAAACAAACTAGCTTTCAATTCTTTCAGAGGTTATTTTTGGCGTTCAAAACCGTGGTTTTAGAAAACAGATTTGGATTTATGTAAACAGAGGGTTAATCCTCCACACCCTCCATTCTAGAAGTATGGACAAAGTCATGCTCTCCTAATTTTAAAATAAACTTTATGTCACTCTTAAGGGATTGGTATTTTACTCTATTTTATTTTTTAACCTCCTGCTAAATAAACCTCTTTGTTAAAAATAACTGATGTTTCTGGTTCATAGAAAATAATAAGTTTAAAAAACATATTTCCAAGTTAACTACAAATCCGATGACAGGTTTTTGAATATGCATTTTTATTTCTTAGGTCCTTTTTGGCTCACTGCAAACATAAGAAGATTCCATGTTTGTATCTTAAGTGTGCTAATATTGCTGACTTCTTACTGGAAAACAGTCAGCTCCAGGCGGCATTTTTTCAGTAGGGTATCTAATTTAAATTATTCCAAAAACCATATGGACGCCCTTCTTAAAATTTCCTTTCTTTGAGGGGGGGGGGTGTTTCTTCTCCTACCTGCCATATGAGAATGAATGTTTTCTCCAGCTGGGTTTCTTTTTCTCAAGTACTTCTGTGTCTGACAATTGTGTTATATGTGAGATCCACACACCCCTTTTAAATAAATGTGCAGAGGAGCAGGAGGCCAACCAGAGGCACAACTGGCTGTGTAGTAAGTTTGTTCCCCCCCCCACCTCACTTAGCTATTTTGTTACTAGTAGATCATGGTCTAATTATTTCCCATTAAAGGGACACTAATTCTGTAGGGTGTGTGATCGTATTTATAGCATGTTTTATTAGTTTGCATTCCGTCATGGTAATGTAGTGATATCATGAATAACAGAAACATAACATCTGACGCTTATGAAAGGGTTTCCCCTTCAGCCAAGCTGTGTTTGGGAAGGTGGGGACGTGTTTGTGTTTAATGCACTGGGATCCTGGCACAGGTTACAGAGTCCCAGTTCTGTACATAGTCAGGAAAGAAAATGTCCAGTGAATATGATGCGGTCAGATTTACAGCATCAGGGCTCGAGGTGTGTTTTGCTGCCTTAAGTCAGCTGCGCCAGCTCCCTGCTGGGCTGCCCCTTTCTGACAGAACAGCAGCAGCTGGGAAGGTGCTGTTTCAGGCTCTTGCTGTTTAAAAAAAAAAAAAGCAAGAGGGGGGAAATTGCACTAAGTCCACAAGCTGGCATTGGAGGGGGAGAGCGTGGTCATGTGGTTCTGGCCATCCTACCCTCTGTCACGGTGTAGATGAGAGCTTTTTGCTCTTATCCAATCATGCCTGGAATGCCGTTTGCCACTTGGGCTATTTCTGCTATCTGTCGCTCTTGGTGCCGCAGTGCTAACGGTTTGGCAGATGGGACACTTTTTCTTGGAGTTGGTGTCTTTGGTTTTTGACTTCTGGCAGTGCCCAGCTTGTTGCTGCTCGCCCTCTCCCTCCCGGCCCCCCTGGTCACCATGGCCCATCGGCTTCGGTTTCATTTTGGCTCTGGTCGCAGCAACACAGCCCCCGAGTCAGAGATCCTAGACCAGGAGAGAGAAGAAGACTTTTTCATGGCATTCCACACCCTCCCGCGTCGGAGCAGCCCGCACCCCTTCGCCCAGAATGGTGGGGAGGATGGCAGCGGCCTGCAAGAAGGCGTGGGTGCGCTTAAGCGCAGCTCGTCCATGTTCATCCCGCAGCTCCTCGCTGGCATCGACACCCGCCCGACGCGCAGCTCCTCGGTGCAGATTTCTCTGCAGCGCAAGGCAGCTGATGGTGCTACCGATGGGTGCGGGCCACCTGATGGCTCCGAGGACCGTCCTCCGAGCGCAACGTCCGACCTCGGGGAACAGACCACAGTCATTACAGCCCAGAGTGGTGTGCTGGAGCCCTCGCCACGGGAAACCCCAGGGAGCTCCCCTCCCAAGGCAGTCCGAGACCCCCAGGTCAACGGCACGTGTGACCGCCGCGTGCGTGGCCTGGGCTTGGCGGATGGCGCGGAGGAGGCCGCCCAGGGCCTGCGCATCCAACACCGCGCCTCCAGTGCGGACGTGCGCCAGGTGCGCTTGCTGCCTTTTGGGTCTGATAGTCAAGCAGCCCCGGAGCCCAGGCGCTGGTCTCTGCAGCATGTTCCTGATGCCTCTGGAAGCTCCGGGAAGCGATGCTTTGTCTTCCAGTTGCAGCAGCCCCAAAAAGGTGCACCGGGGTTGGGCAGTGACTTCAATTTTGGCTTCACCGGCACAAAGGGGGATAGGTTGGTGAGGTACCCCCGTATTCGGCTGGAGAGAAGCACCTCATACCCTACCCAGCCCCGAGTGGGCCGGGGCAGCCCTACGGAAGACCGGGGAGCTCCCGACACACCACCTCGGAGGGGCAGGATGGCTCCTGAGGTCCGCAGGACAAATTCCATGGAAAGGACTTCTCAGGGTCAGGGATGCACATTTAAGATCAGGCAAGATCAGAACGCGGGGCAGCAGCATTTCCGGATTCTTGTGACTCGGGGTCCGGAAGAAACTCCCCAGAATTCCAAAGAGGAGAACGGCAAAAGTTCTGGTCCCCCGGTAAGTCCGCATGTGTATGAGTGCAAGTTGCCAAGACTACCGGAGAGTCCCAACTCAAAAAACTTACTCTGCAGCGTAATTAAAATAAGCTTCACCTTCCTTTCTGGGAGTTTCCCTGCTTCGGGCCAGTGCAGTTGACGTCTGGAGGCATATTGGGGCTGTGATTTCTGGTCCAGAGTTTTGGTAGCGTTCATGGAGCTAGTTGTCCTCTCAGAAAATGTTTTCTTTAGGTTTTCAGAGTCAAAGATCTCTGTCT